CACCCAGATTCTGTTTGCCTGCTACCATGGTGATCCCAGAGGGGGTTGTCTTAGAAATGTCTTTCACACACAGAAAGCCCCACAGAGACCAGACTGTCTTGCACCAGAAGGAGGGGGAGGGGCACGTGAGCCTGATTATCTCTGCCGCTGCAGCCTCTCTCCCATGGCACTCCTCCCCCCACTGCTGCTGATCAGAAGAGCAACAACATATCCTGGGTAAGAGCTCTGCTTAGGCAGAAGATAGATGTGTGATTCAATGACACCACTGCCATTTACTCATTGTGTTATTTTGGGCAACTTAGCTCTGCTAAAGAATAATTTCTTCATCCAAAAAAAATGGAGATATAATATCACCCTTGCAGAACCGTTGATTGGATTCAGGGAACTAAAATCTTGACAGTGTTTCCTATAGTGCTGGCAGTTAGGGTAGCTGATTGATAAAGAAAACAAATAGCTTAGCTGATTGATAAAGAAAACAAATATACAGCCCTAATTAGATGACAGGCACTGTTGTAAATGTTTTACATGTACTCACTCACTTTTTCCTTACAACAACCCCAAGAAGTGGGAAATATTATTATTCCCATTCTACAGATGATGAAACTGGGGCACAGAGAGTTTAATGACTTGTCCAAGGTCACACAATTAGTAAATGCTAGAGCTAGGATTTGAATATAGGTACTAAGGCTCCGAGCTGTATTTAAAACCACTGCATATCCTAAGTTTAAAAATGGTAGCTGTTGTCCTTAATTATAATAGTGAAAATTAATGTGCTAGGGACATGTTGACTTCTTGCATTTGCTCAATAGCTCTACAAGGTGATTTCTGTTATTCTTTCCACTTTATAGATGAGCAGACTAAATAAAGAAAAGTTATGTTATTTGCCTAAGGTCATAGAGCTAATAAGTAGCAGACCTAGTATTCAAACCCAGGCAGTCTAGTGTCAAGGCCCTGACCCTTAATCACTACATTATATTAGCTATGTATTGATGATGATGGTGTTAGCGTAGAAGAGGTGGAAAAAGAAGTGAAGAAGTAGAAGATGAAGGAGAAGGAGGAGGAAATGGGAGAAAAGGAGTGGGGAAGAGAAGAAAATAAATTTACTTTATATGCTAACAACCTATATGTCCAGGTGTCAAAGTTGAGCTGATGAGTCAGATTCCCTGTCTATAGACTCTGACATAGAGAAATAGCAGGAGAGTGACATTTTTAGCAGTAGGAGTGGAAACTGAAAAGATGCAGAAACTTAAGCCCAGGCAAGTTAAAGGAAGCCAAAGCCACAAAGTTAGACAGACTGCAGAACAGACTCCAGCCCTGGTTCTCAGATTTCACTTGAGGAGTGTGAGTTATCTAAACTCAGTTCCCAGGCCCTGACTCAGAAGCCCTGAGTCAGTAGGCATGGGTGGGCCCGGGTGTTGGCATTTTTAATGTGCACCTGAGAAGTTCCTGGGGTGGTGGTGGAGGCTGATGAGGACCCAATCTGACAGGATAAGGAAGCTGGTCTGTTGAGAGAACAGAGCATGCATCTGACACCCTGGTGCCCACTAGACTCTTCTTCTGTTCCCCACATACCCCAGCCCCATCCTGGGACAGACCACATGACTTATTACAGCCAATGGACTGTGGGAGGAAGGAACATACATCACTTCTTGGCTAAAGTGTCAAAGAGCCAGTGTTTGACTCTCCAAATGTATCTTTCTTGCTGTGGCATCTGGTGGATGCCCATGGGCTCTGGGACCTAGAGCCTTGAGAAGAAGGTGCTGGCTGGTGCCGTGGGGAGGAATCGCTGTTGTGAGGAGAAGCAGCATTGCTGGGTGGTGCTCATAGGAACAGGAAGCCCAAGGAAGCTACAGAGAATAAAGATGAAAAAACAAGTTCTTTCTCCCTCCTCCAGTCCTGCTTATTGGCAAAGTCTAACAAACTCTAACCTAGAGCACTAGTAATATAGAAATATGGTTTGTGGGGCCCTAGCCCCAGCATCACAGTGCAGGTGTTTTTTTACGTTTCATTTATTTTTAACTGTGGTAAAATATAATGTAACATAAATGTTACCATTTTAACATTTTTAAGTGTACAGTTCAGTGGCATCAAGTACATTCACATTGTTATGCCACCACCGCCACCACCCACCCAGAATTTTGTCATCTTGCAAAACCGAAATTCTGTACTCATTGAACAACTTCCCATTCTCCACTCCCCAAGCTCCTGGCAACCACCATTCTACTTTGTCTTTACGGATTCACTCTGGGCACCTTGTATAAACAGAATCATACAATATTTGTGCTTTTGTGACTGGCTTATTTCAGTTAACATAATGTCTTCAAAGTTCACTCATATTCTAATGTATGCTAGAATTTGAAGGCTGAAATTCTATCTTATGTATATATCACATCCATTCAGCTGTCAATATACAGAGAAGTATTTTTTATATTATCAGATATTATATTTAAAAAAAAAATCCCAGGTCAGTCTGACTATAAACATCGTACATATAACACACTCCTCCCAACTTTACTTCTGTATACAATGGGTTTACTTTTTCAAAGCCATAAAAACAATATTCTAACAATATGCGAGTTAATTTTCAAAAATAAAAATGCCTACCAATAATTAGACCATCTTAACACCAGGTCCTTTTATTTTCACCTCTCCCATTTTAAAGTCTTTCTTATAGGCAGATATAATTTTTCAAAGTTATGACTTCAGCACCCCATACAACTGAGTTTTCTGCCACATCATAAACCTTGCTGCTTGCTTTTACAGGGTTGTTATTGCCAACCCCAAATGAATGAAATGCTGTTTTCTTCATTATTTCCCTCCTTTGCGTCTTTGAACATCTGGATTGTATTCTTCAGGACCTCTTTGGTTGCAAATGAGGGAAACCCTACTCAAATCAGCTTAAGCAAAAACAAATTGGTGTGTGTGGTGGTGGTGGAATTTACTGGTTTCAGTCACTGGAAAGAATGCAGGAGTAACTCATAGAACGAGGGCTTGAAACCAGGGACTTATTCTTGGCCTATCTCTCTTTCTTTCTCTACTTCTCTTTGAAGATTAGCTTTTTTCTTTCCTAGTGCAGACAGGTCTTCCTCACCTGGCAGGGAACATGGCCACTGGCAGCCCCATTTTGCAACAACAGTAGAACAAAAATCCAGCTAGCAATCCCAGAGAAGGGCTGTGATTGGCTGTGTGGAGTCACATGCCCATACCCTGGGCCAACCCTGTTGTTAGGGTGACCATGGATTATAATTGGGCGGGCTTGATCACATGCCCATCCCTAAGGCCAGGGTAGTGACAGGGTTTGTTGCTTTCAGATAAAGGGGAACATGAAGGCCTGCTGGGAAGACAGAAAACAACCATCACAGTGTTCTGTTTTTCACCATGGCACACATCAGCTCTTTCTTTGTTTTAACAATCACTCTGTGAGAAATCCCCAAGGATAAGATTACTGTCATGGTGCCTGCCAGAAGCCATGTAATATGTTTGTGTTTTCAGAGGGTCTTCACATCTAATACTATATTTGCGCCTCATCAAACAACAACAAAAAAAATAACAACAAAACAAAACAAAAGCACTGATAACTGATAGAAAAGGAACCAGTGACCCAGAGAAGTTAAGTGATGGGTCCGGGGACACATAGTGGATAAGGGCAGAGGTGTACCCAGAGATTTCCTAACTCCCATTTCAGTGCTCTCCCTTAACAACATCACAAAGCTTGGACTAGTGGTGAAAGGGTCCAAGCCCAGGATCATCTCTAGCCATTTACGGGAGGGAGCTTCGTCTGCTATCTACCCTTTGGAGGAGATGGGTCAGCCGCCTGGATGATATGGGCTGGCAGCTCCTGCCTTCAGAGCCTGCTCGAGCTCTGATGGGGGATGTCCCTCCGCTGGACCTGGCATCCTCCCATTGGGCACTCTCAGCACGCAGATCCTCCAGGACACTGTGAAGATGCTTCAGCGTGAGCAGGAGCCTCTGGTCTTGGACCTGCATCTCAGCCTAGGAAAGAGAATAAGTCTTTGGGGAGGTGGACAGAGCACTGGACATTCCCCAGAAAGCCCTATCCCATCACTGTCTCATAGAAGATAAGCCTACAATTTCGCAGAAGCTGTGTCCTCCAATGCCTCAGTTTCTTCATTTGCAAAATGAAAAGCAAATTACTTACCTTTCAAGGCTCTTATGAGGACTGAATGAATTAGCCTCCACTCTAAAATATGACATTCTGAGCTACCAAGGTCTATGATTATATTTATCATCACCATCATCGATATTAACTCCACTATATGCTTTAATCGTCACTGTAAAAATTATTTTATAGGAATTAAGAAGAGAGTGACTTCATATTAAAGTAGAATACACCCTGTAGGCAGGCAGGAGCCCTTTGGAAAACTGATTCTCAGCATAAGGTCCAGGGAACCCCTGGGTCCCAAAAGCCCTTTCAGGAGATCAGCAAGGTCAAAGCTACTTTCATTACAACACTGTAAGATACTATTGCCCTTTTTCATTTTTCATATCTTATGAGTATACAGTGGAGTTTTCTGGAAGCTATATGGCATGATATGCCACTGAACGCAGAAGCAGAGATGAGATTCCAGCTGTATTTTGTTAAGGAAGACACTAAAGAAATTTGCAACTATGGAAAACAGTGCCACTCTTCATTAGATATTTTCTTTGAAAAATATAGTTTAGCATTTATTTTAAATAAAATATTTTATTAACATGTCATGAGTTTACTATTGTTATTTTTAGCATGCATGAACAAATGCTAAAAATTTCAGTTTTGGTTTCTAATTCTGTCAATACTGATATCTATAACTCACATTAAAAAGAATTTTTTGATGTCTCTAATAATTTTTAAGAACACGAAGAGGTTCTAAGACCCAAAAGTTTGAGAATTGCTACTTTGAGATTCTCTACCATCCCCACTCACCAGTCCCCTCTCCTCTCATTTCCCGTTAGGGCTGGTTTTCCCCACATATTTTCTCTTTTATGCTTTCTCTTTTAAGATGTTAAACTTAGAGCACTGGAATGGGAGTTAGGAAGTCTCTGGGTGCACTTCTGTCCTCATCCACCATGTGTTCCTGGACCCATCACTCAACTGCTCTGGGTCACCGGTTCCTTTTCTATCGGTTATCGGGGAATTCTTACACATGATATAAAATTTTAAAGCTACAAAAAGGCATATAGTGTAAAGACTCCCCCACTTCACCTTGTTCTATTGGACAGCTCAGTCTCCTCCCCAAGAGGTGACCACTGGGAATGGATTTCCCTTCTGAAGCTACCTGAGGCACAGACGATTAGATACATGAACTCTTAATCTGTCTCTCTCTGTTTCTCTCTCTGTCTCTGACCCTCCTTTCTGTCTCTGCCTCTCTCTGTCTCCGTCTCTGCCTGTCTGTCTCTCTCTCACCCTTCCTCCCTCCCTCCTTCCCTCCCTCCCTCCAAGAGATCATTATTTCTCCATTAAAAATAGTATTTTTATTTTCATTTATTTTACAAATGAGAAGATAAAGCTCATTTCCTCCATTCCAGCAACAGTAATACCACCAAGAAAGCAGATAGCTAGAAAGAGGAAACTTGAAGGTAAAAGTCAGATCACCACCTGAGAACAGTGAGATTCCTTAGGCTGCACCTCAAGTGGTAGCAGAGCCATACCTTCCTAACTCCTGGGAAAACATTAAATCTGTTTTCTCAATTTTAGGGTTTTCCTCCCACATGTTTCATTTTTTCTGTCCAGTCTTTAGCACCAGCTCTGCTGGGTATATGTGAGAAGGCAATGAGGCTTGGAAGCAGTGTTAAGGGAGGTGGTGGCCTCAGTGCCTTTGGCTTTGAGGGTGGGCCCCTGGCCAAACTGGCTTCAACAGTAGGGAAGTGTCCCGTCTCATAAGGTGAGAGGTCCTGTGGTAAAGTTGGCTCACGGCTCAGTTTGCTCAAGCTTTGCGGTGCGTAGTTCTGTCCTTCTGCATTAATGCCACTTAGTCGTCAGGCTGGTTTGCCTTGTCACTAGACAGCAGCAGCTCCTTCCCTCTTTTAGATCCCACCAGGACTTTGGGGCTTACATGATCCCAGGGAAGGAGAGAGAGCACTGGACTTCGGTCCATGTTAGTCACTGAGGTTACTGAATTTTTCCTTCTGCTGCATGAAGTGACTATCCAGTGCTGGTCCTTCCCTGCAAGGACTTCTTGGCTGGGCTCCAGAGGGGCCCTGGTAGAATCATGTAAATTCTATGTGATAGAGGTTAAAAAACAAAAACAAATAACAAAACAAACAAACAAACAAAAACAGGCTTCTCTAGGAAGTTCACAAGTCAGGGATCAGCAAGAGGAGACTTAAGGATCCCTCTCTTGGCATCACATGCAGGGAGGTCCCTGGGCCTGACAGGCTGTGCCTTAGGTGGACTCGCCCCTGCCCTGCCTTGTTCCCCCTCTTTATGGGGTGAGAGAGAGGTACTTTATCAGGTGAAAACTGGTACTTTGGGTTTAGGAACCAAGCAGTCTCAGCATGGGCACCCAGTATTTAGGGGAACATGGGAAAGACCTGCTGCCCAGCTTCTGGACCTCTGAGGACTATAAGAAACTGAAGTTCCTGCTGCTAGAGCCCCCGGCCTCAAGAGAAGCAGTACTGGGTCAGCCCCTCCCACCTGGGTGAAGATGGGGTTGAGTTCCAGCTGATCTGTTGCCTGGAAACCCAGAAAGGTCATTTTGAACAATCCTGTCTGTCCTTCCCCAGGAGAATCTGGGGTATTGGGGATATAAACCTCGGGTACCTTCTGAGATTCCCTGAACCACCCCCTTCTTGCTCTCGGCTGATGTCCCCACACACTTTGTGGCACTCCTCTATTTTGGAACTTGGAGAAAACACCACAAGGAGAGGCATAATGCCTGGCATCCTGAGCAGCCACCCAGAGACCAAGAAACAACTCAGGAGAGGTAGTTCAGTTCAGGAGAGTTAGTGCCCCCTAGGGTGGACCTTTACCAACAGAAAATGGGAGACAGGAGTGAGCAGGGCAAATATATTTCCTCTTCTCTCTCCCTCAGGGTGCAGATCCTCCTTCAACGACCCCGCAGAGAAATCCTGCACAGAGATAAACCAGATGCTGAGAGAACCGCTGAGCCTCCTTAAGGCTCCTTCGGAAGTGGCAGTCAGCTTGGTAATACAATGCATTGCCTGGCATAGCACTGGCTTTTGCCTCCACTCTCTTTTTCCCTCACTCTCACTACTCTGGGCTTGTATCTTCAAATAAATCATTAATACCCCAATCTTTGTGGGAGCCTCTGCTTTCTAGAGGACCCAGGCCAAGACAGTGGTTATACTCCAGGTCCACCTGGGTCAGGACCAACATAGATGCGCCAAGCAGACACTACGTGAATTATACGATCTCCTCACCGAATTCTTGCAGCAACCCCTGCAGTGTTGGTACTACTGTTATCTCTGTCTTATGATAAGGAAATTGAGGCTCAAAGAGGTAAAACCACTTGCTGGAAGGTACAGAGCAGCAGAGCTGGGCACATATGCACGACTCAGTGCAATTCTAAAACCAGTCTGGCAAGCACTGCACCCAAAGCCTCTTATGTAGGCCATGACCTACTTATCTCAGTACCTAAGATGGTGGCTGGTCCCAGCAGGGTGCCTGCAGGGCCTACACCCCAGCGTGCAGCCTCTGCCCCAGCCAATAGGGCACCTGGGAGGGGGGCCCAGAAAACCTTGGAAGACATGGGGCAAAGGCATCAGGTAAAAAGAAATGCAAAGCCTTACCAGCTCCTTTCTCAGCCACTCCAGAGTCTGCCCAAGATTTGGGGTTGGCTCTTCTGCTGTTTTCATCTCCGTGTCCTTGGTGAGACCTTGACGCTGACCTGGTAAAGGGCTTGAGAGCCCTTTGACTTGTTCAGTCTCCCTCCTGCTTTAGGTTGTAAGCAGTCTGGCCAAGTCACTAAGGATGGAGTTAATGAGAGCAGAAAGTGGCTCACATTGGAAAATGTAGGTTTTTTTTTTTTTAAAGGGCTTCAGTGCTCTGAATAGAACAAAGAGGGAGGGCAGGAGGGAGACCATTGGGATATTGGTATCTCAGTGCCTGCAGGTTCCAGAATCCAAGATCTGATGCCAATAGGATCACGGACACTGTAAAGCTTTAAATAATAAGAACAATAATTATTACGAGAATAGGTGTCTCCTTCTGAGGGCTCTAAGTGAGATAGATATATATATAAAATACACACATATATATAATCTCTCTACACGAAATCTCTCTCTATAAAAATATATATATTCTATTATGTATATTTAAAATCTCATTTATGCACATACATGTAATATATTTGTATATAAATTTATATATGAATAAAATCTCATTTAGAGCAAATACACCATCTACTGCATCTGCATCCCATCTCCTCTCTCCCTTCCTCATCTACCCATAGAGTCTAGATAAAGGAAAATGCTCACTCTCCAAGTCTCCTTATTTCTGGGATGCCCAGGTGTCCCATTTCTAGCAAATGAGATCAAAATAGAAATTTGCTATTAGACTTCTAGGAAAACTTATACCTACCTGGTAAAAGGAAAAATGTCAGTGATGCTCCCCCTTTACTCCTACTTTCTTCCCCTTCCTTCTGCTTCAGATGTGGATGTGATGCTTGGATCCACAGTAACCATCTTGCAACCCTAAGACAAAGGCCAGGAAAATTGCAGAGGCATTTGAAATCACGGAGTCACAGAATCACTAACAATAAATCCCACTTTTAATTAGGCAAACACAGTCCTAACTGACATACCATTTATTTTTCATAACACTACGAAGTGGGTGTCCTTTAATTTTTTTCAACAAACATTAAGTGCCTACTATTTGCCAAGTTCAGCTGTAGGCATGGGGGATATAGCCCCAAATCAGAGAGACAAATGTCCCACTTTCTTGGAGCTGGCATCATAATGGAAAGAAACAAACAATAATCAAATTAATATATGATGAAAATAAATAGGACCTATTCTCATGTAGGTTTTTAAATTTTTTTATTCTACCCACATGAGGTAGGAACCCCAAACCAAGAATTAACATAGTGGCCCCAGATAAAGAGCTGAGGTGACTCACGAAACAAACTCAACCCATTCTGGAGGGGCTGCCTCAACCCAGGATACCCAAACTGTCCTGAAGATGAATTTACAATCCAAAATTACAAGACACACAAGGAAACCATTCACCGGAAGTGAGAGTCAGCAGATACCATCAAAGGCAGGATCAGACCCTTCTCCCTCTAAGAACTTCAGATGAAGACAACAAAAAAAGTATTCGGAAAAGAATTAAAGCCATATAAGAAGGAATCAAATATATAAGAAAAAAAGACACTATTAAAAAAGGCAGATATGACAGACTCATGGTTGCCAGAGGTGGGGAGTAGCCAAAATGGGTGGAGTAAAAAGATACAAACACCCAGTTATAAAATAAATAAGTCATGAGCATGTAATGTACAGCATGGTGACTATAGTTAATAATACCGTATTGCATATTTAAATGTTGCTAAGAGAGTAACTCTTAAAAGTTCGCATCATAATAAAAAATATTCTGTAACTATGTATGGAGATGCATATTAACTAGACTTACTGTGGTGATCATTGTGCAATAATTACAAATATCAAATCATTACATTGTATGCCTGAAACTAACGTAGTGTTGTATATCAACTATACTCCAACAAAAGGCAGATTTGCAAGAGAACTAAATAAAATTTATAGAAGTAAAAATTACAGCAACTGCTTATAAATTAAAGAAAAAAGAATATACATTTAGTGGAGCTCTGTAATATAGAGCTAGGGCAGTGGGTGGACATAGGGAGGCAGATTGGACTCAGTAGGAGGAAAATGTAGAATCCTTCCAAGCAGTGGGCACTCGGTGGAATATGGAAGCACAACCCATATGGTTAGGGAGGCTGGATAAGGGGCTCTACTGCTCAGTGGTGGGACCTGGGGCTCATTCCAAGTATGAGATGAACTGGGCAGGAAAAGGGGTGTTGGATAGGAAGCCAGGACACCTGGGTTCTAACCCAGCTCTACCAAATTTTCTATGTGAACTTAGACCTCATCCTTCCCATCTTAGGCATAACAAAATTCAAAAGAGTTACTGCATTAAGTTGTAAGAAATGTCACATTTCTTGTACACTAGGGTTTTTACAGCCTGAGGTGCCTTCTGACTGCCACATATGAGAAAATTTTATGTGCAATTTCACCTTATTGAGCTGTTACCCTTTGGAACCAGAGAGGACCTGAGAAATTCTTGTTTGCCACATTCATACCCCTTCTGAACGCAGGGGCCAGAAATGATTTCTTCTGGACAGGTAACCAGGCTTTGTGTCACATGAACCTATAATTATGGGACAACTGCCTGGATCAGAGATGAGTGCCTCAGCCCAAGGCAACCATCTACAGACTAGAGAGGAAGGAGATCCTTGGCTTATGGGTGATAAGGAGGAAAGGAATTATATTCATCTAGTGGTGACCAAATGATCCGATCAGATCTCTTGGAGAATGTAAATTTGCCACAGATACAGGGGTTGTCATAAAGACGCTGTATAATAAACCTCCCAAACGCCTTACCTTCAAACAACAATCACTTGCTTTTGCTTTTAGTTTGTGGGTTGGTGGGGATGGTCTACATTAGACTTCGGATTTGCACATGTGAGCCTGCTTCATGGGTCTCTTGTCCTCTTCCTGGAATCACTGGGCTACTGGAATGTGTTCTTCTCCTTGCAATGGCAAAGGATACAAGAGCAAGTGAAACCATGCAGGGCCTCTTGCCACACTGTCGCTTTTACCACATATCATTAGGCAGAGTCACAGGCCAAGCTCAAAGTTAAAAAGGGTCAGGGATGTACACTCTACCTAGGAAGAGGTCACATCGTGTGTGGAGTTGGGGAAGGGTGAAGAAGTGGGACTAATTCTACACCAGGAAGGAAATTAGTTCAGAAATGGGGCCACAGGCCTGGAGGGGCCCAGAGAGAAGGAAGCAAACAGAAATCACCAGGTGGCAGGAGCTGGCGATAAGAAGGATTGCTGGGTGGCAGTGACAAGAGACCCAGTAAGAACTAGAGACTTGAAGAATCTAGACCAGGTATCACGCTAAGCCTTTGACATACATACTTCATTTCATCCTCAAAACCTATGATTGCAGTTCCCAAACCATGTGCCAAGGCACCCTGAAGCATGGCAGAAATCTCACAGAAGTACTGCAAAATATTTTTTTAATTTTGAGGAAAACACAGTAACATCTGTCGGGTACTGTGCAAACTACGATTATTGTTTGAACTTAATTGCTTAACAAACAACGATTAGGTGTTATTTGTGCCTAGCACACTGCGAAAATGTTGCCGAGATGCTAAGGGAGCTGTGAACTGAGAAAGTGTAGGAACCTCTGCCTATGAGGTAGCTACCATAAAATGCAGTCATCTGCAGATAATGGCAAAGTTATCTGCAGATAACTGCATTTTATGGTTGATTACAGATAGATCCTATTATTAGCCCCTTTCTATAGATGAAGAAACTAAGGCTTAAAGTGGCATGGATTTTCTTAGGATCACCCCAGCAAGTAAATAATGGGGCTGGAATTAGAACTTGTTTTCTCTGACATGTATGCAGGGTGTTGTCTGTTGTCTTACAGTGATGGGGGGCCAACCAGGGGCCCAAGCTAGGACATCTGCCACCCTCCTGGGCAAGTCCAGTGGGTTTTCTGCCCAATACAGTTGTGGTGTTGATAGGAATGCCTGACAATTAGTCTGGTGCTCTGTCCTTGGCCTCCAGTGCTCATACCTAACTGCCCTGAAAAGCCATTTCTTGTGGTTAACTTGTTTGATGCACTTTCATTTATTTTTAATCCCACTGTTAGGATTCTGGCTCATAGCACAATTTATGTAATAGATTCAGAAATGCTTGGCATGTGGGGATAGGGGGAGATGGAGTCAGGAGGCCTAGAAAGGGAAGGAACTTAAACTCTGAGTGAGGAAAAATGTCCTCACCAAATACAAAGCCAGAATGGCCATCCATTCATCATCCATGGGCAGCTAATAATATGGCTTCCATGCATCAGACCCTGCACTGAATGATGGGGGGTACAGCGGTGAGCAAGAAAGACCTCATGCCTGACCTTGGGGAACTTATGGTCCAGTTATTAGGAGGATCTCCCAGGTGGGGCAAGTGGACTCAGAGATGTCATTTAGCTCTGCTTCCATGTCTGACTCCTAGCAATCATGTGGTTCAAAAATTATACTTTATACCACAAGACTGGCACATATATATGTAGAATGAATACATGAAAGAAAGGAGTAAATTTGTGAATGAAGAAACCATGGCTCAAATGGAGATGTGAGTTGTCTAGGCAAGTCAGCAACTGTGGCAAAAATGGCAGGTTGCCCTTCACTGTCCCTTCTTCTAGTCACATGTGGCAAAAGATTACATTCCCAGACTCCCTCACAGATGAGTGTGGTCATGTGACAAAGTCTGGCCAATGGGATATAAATGGAAGTGATTTGTGCAATTTCTGGGTTGTGTCCTTGAAAGGAGAAGGAGGGTTCCTGCCTTGTCCTCTTGCTGACTAGAATATAGCTATTATGGCTGGAGGTGAAGCAGCCACTTAGACCACAAAGTGGAAGATGATAGAGCAACAAGATAAAAGCAACTCAGGTCTCTTGTGACTGGTGAAGCCACCATGCCAGGCTTAACTGCAAAGTATACCTTTCTGTAAGAGAGAAATAAGTTCTGTTTTATTGAAAACACTATTATTTTCATTCCCTTTAATGCAGGAGTCAAACCAATGTCCTAAAACTATAGCAGCAGAGCTAGTAGCAGGTCATTTCCATTGACTTCCCCTACTCAGGCCCTTTCTATAATTTTTCACCCGTATATTTTATTCTCTTCCAAGTCTTTTCTTGTTTGTAACTTGATCTGCTCCTC